TAAATGGGAAGGGTTGTCAAAATGATTTGAAAATTCTCATCAGAACTATTAAAGAGTATCTGAAATGTACTTGTTTTGTTTTTATTAAGCTGTCATCTTGCATATTGTCATAACTAACGAAATAACTATGGTACCATTTTGGTTCATTTTTTTTCTTTTATTAAATATAATACTCCTGCTGTAGTCTTTAAGGGACAGAGTACATAGTACATTGTAATTTCCCAGCTCCTGGATGCTATGCCCCTCCTAATGCAGCCCCACGTTGCATTAGCTTTTTTAGTTGCTATGTCATCCTGTTGGCTACTAAAATATCCAGATCCTTTCTAGAACTGTCTATCCAAGCCTCCTCAATCTTATATTTGTGGCAGTGATTTTCTTTGTACCAAAGTATAAGACTTTTACATTTATCCCTATTTAATTTCCTCTTGTTAGATTTAGTCAGCCTAATGCTCCTCCCTGTCAATGTTTTTTTAAAGATCCTAACTCAGTCATCCATGGTATTAACTATCTCTCTAACTTTTGTGGTGTCTGCCAACTTGATAAGAATACTTTTATCCAAGTCATTGATAAAAATCAAGAAAACAATTTATATAATAACCAAAAAGAAATTGTAAAGACAAAGAACTCTGAAAGATTTTAAAAGATTGATTAATGCAATGACCAATCCTGATTCCAGAGAAACAATGATAAAAAAAAAAGTTATCTACTTCCTGACAAAGAGGTAATAGACTTCAGATGGAGAATGAGATATACATTTCTGAACAAAGTGTGGGAATTTTTTTTTGCTTTACAATGCATATTTGTTACAAAATTGGGGGAATGGGAAGGAGAAAAATGCTTAACTGAAAACACTAAAAGGAAAATGCTCTAATTGAAAGTGAAGAAATAATTATGATTAAAAAAAAATCACAGAGCTAAGGACAAACCTCTGAGACACTCCACTATAGACCTACTGCCATTCTGACACTAAACCATTAACAATTAATTACTCTTTGGCACTGCCATCCAAACAATTTGGAATACATATATTAGCATCTCATCCAGTGTTTCTTAACCTTTTTTGTGTCATGGATCTCCTCATTGGCAGTCCAAAATCTATGGACTCCTTCTCAGAATAATATAAAAATGCATAAAATAAAAGGCAGAGGGTTACAAAGGAAACCAATTATATTGAATAAAATTATCAATTTTTTAAATTTTTTTTTTAAAAACAAGTTCACAGAACCCAAGTTAGGAGCCCTTGATTTAGTCCATCTCTTTCTATCTTCTCCATAAGAAGAACCTTCAAAACTTGATAATAGTGAATAATTTTTTAATATATTACTATAGTCTTCTTATTAGGATTTCTTTAAGATTTCTGAATCAATATTCATTAGCAATAATGAATTAGAGTTCCCTTTCTTTGATTTACCCCTTCTTAGTTTAGTTATTAAGAGCCACACTTTTCCCATATCAAAAAAAATCCCCACAAACCAACCCCAGTCTGACATTTTCTTTCTTCAATTTTGAGAATACTCTGTAAGCATAGGTATTGATTTCTCTTTAAACCTTTAAAAAAATTCTCCTATAAATCCATCTGTACCAGGGTCCCACCCCACTTTTGGTAGTTCCTTTATGGTTTAATCAAGTTCATTTTCCAAGACGTTGCTATTGAGGATAACTATTTCATGATCTATTAACTGGAGTATTTTATATTTTTGTAGTATACATTTCTTTTAAATTTTTGGTTTTCCTAACAAATAACTGCATAAAGTTGTGATAATTCTTTTTTTTTTATTATTTCTTCCCTGTTTGTTGTGATTTCCAAGATAATATGTTAAAACCCAATATGATTATGATTCCACTCTGCATCTGCTGCCCTGCCTGGTTTCAATTTCTCAGAACAAGATGCGCCTCCCAAGATAAGCTTATTACTGCTAAACTCAACGCCATGTGGCTAACTTCTTGTTAGCCTCCCTCAGGTTCCTCTCCAATCTGAATGGAGAAGGGCAGAATACCAAACTCCCCCCAATGCATTCCTGTATAGAAGGCAGGAATACTTCACTTTGTATCTGCTGTCCTGCCTGGTTTCAACTCCACAGAACAAAATACCCCCACTTGTTGGGTGCCCTCTGTTGTACTAATTCCCTGCCCCCCTTGCCTGCATCTTTTTGTGTGCTGTCTCCACCTTTAAATTATAAGCTCACTGATGGCAGAGATTGTCTTTCTTTTTATGAATTGTATCCCTAGCACTTAACACAGTGCCTAGCACACAGCAGGTGCTTAATTAATGTTTATTGCATTGGATTGGACTTTTATGTGAGCTTTCATGGTCAAATTCCTAGAAAAGATTGTTAAAAACTCATTGCCTCCACTTCTCTTCTCACTCCTCTACCCTTTACAACCTTGTTTCCAACTTCATCACTTAACTAAAACTACTTTCTTGAAAGCTACCAATCTCTTAATTGAAAAATATTATGGCCTTTTCCCAGTCCCCATACTTCTCAACTCTCTGCAGCATCTGACACTGATGTCCACATTATCCTCTTGGGTACTTTATCTTCTCTAGGTTTTCATGGTACTGTTCTTTTGGTTCTTCCTCTACCCAACTGACTGCTACTTTAGAGTATGTTTTTCTGGTTCACCATCCATATAATGTCCATTAACTGTAGGTATACACCAAAGCTCTATGTTCTAGGACAACTTCTCTTTTCCCTGTATTCTCTCAATAGATGACCTCATCACCACCCCTAACTCTTAGATCTACATATGTTGTCCTAGTCTCTCTTCTGAGCTCCAGCCCTGAATCTCCAACTGACTATTAGACATTTCCAACTGGATGACCCATAGATACCTCAAACTCAACATGTCCAAACTGAACTCATTATCCATACTCCCCTCAAACCCAGCCTTCTTCCTGAACTTCCATATTTCTATCAAGGTCACTACCATCCTTCCAGGAACCCAAGTTTGCAACCTCATTTTCATGAACTCTCCATTCTCTCTCACCCCACATATCAAACAGTTGCCAAATCTTGCAATTTCTAATCAATTAGTCAATAAATATGTATTAAGTACTTTCTGTGTATCTGGTACTAAGCTAAGTACTGGATATACAAAGAAAGGTAAAAGTCCCTGCTTTCAAAGAGCTCACTAATAGGGGAAGCAATGTGTAAAGAACTATGCACAAACAAGCTACACACAGGACTAACTGGAAATAACTAACAGAGTGAAGACACTAGATTTCAGACAGATTAGAAAAAGTTTCCTGTAGAAGGTGGGATTTTAGCTGGAACTTGAAGGAAGCTAAGGAAGCCAGGAAGTAGAGGATGTATTCCATGCATGTAGGAGAGACAGTGAAAATGCCCAGAGTCAGAAGATGAACTATCTTGTTCAAGGAATAGCAAGGAGGCCAATGTCACTTGAACAACACCTCTCATATCCTTCCCCTTGTTTATAGTCACATGCCCACAACCCTCACTCACCTAGTTCAGACCCTTATCACCTCTTGTCTGGACTATTGCAACAATTTCCTAATTGGTTTATCAATTTCATGTCTCTCTCCACTCTAATCCATCCTCCATGTTGTTGCTAAAGTGATTTTCCATATCATCCCCCTCCTTAATGAACGCCAATGAGTTCCTTATTTCCTTTAAAAGGAAACATAAACTCCATTTGGCTTTAAAGACGTTCATGCTCCAACCTCAATCTCTCCAGCTTCACTATATATTACTAACCTCTCCACACTATGTGGTCCAACCAGAGTAGACCTCTTACTATTATTCATGCACTACATTCCAACTTCTCTCTTCATTCTTTTGCAACGGCTGTCTCCCAGGCTTAGAATGCTCTCCTTCATCACGTTTCCCTGTTAGAATCCCAAGTTTCCTTCAAATGTCAGCTGAAGTACTATCTCCCATATGAAGCCCCTCCTGATCTCCTTCAGATACTAGTGCTCTACTCACAAAAAACTACATTGTATTTATTTTATATAGATAGATATACATGCATGTCTCCTCTGATAAAAATCAAACTTCTTGAGAAATAATTGCTTCCCTTTTTCTTTGTATCCCCAGTGCCTAGCATAGTGCCTGACCCATAAAAGACATTTAATAAAGGCTTACTGATTGAATGATTAATCTCAGTTGGGAGGACTTGGAAATTTAGAGACCCTAATTAAAATACTTATAAAATCAAATCTATTCCCCCCAAAAAAGGATCACGACCTGAAAAAGGAATTTGTAAACTAGAACCTTAAAAGTATGGCCTCTTTCTAGAATCTTCTATCTAGTTTTCAGTGAAAGATAAATATGCTATGTTAGGTTCAAAAAGCAACTTTCTCATGAGTCTTTAAATATTCCATTGATTTCATTATGTATTTAAGGCAAAATTTAAACTGTGATGAGTCATGTCAATTTCACATGTAAATTTTGTTATTTCTAATATTGAATATTCTTCAGAGAAGATTTGATTTTGTATTTTATATTGTTAAATAAAACTTTTAAATTTTCATTGCTTTTATTTGAAAGATAAACAAATGTGAATTTGCTCTAAATCACATAATCTTTTTATCTGGAAAGGACATTAGAAATCATTTATGTTCAACATCAGCTCATTTCACAAGTAAAGAAACTAAGGCACAGAAAAGTTAAATGACATGACATGAGTCACACAGCTAATTAGTGGCAAAACTGAGACAGGAAGTACCACCAGACTCCCAGTCTTTTGTTCTTTCATCTACATTATGCTGCCTCTGGGAAAAGTCTGATGAATCACTGGAAGAAGTATGAGCTTTAAAAAAAATAATTCAAAAATGACTCATTAGATCTTACCCAAATTGCCACAGAAAGTTATATTTGGAGAGAGAACAACATAGGAAGCTTCAAACCAAGCAGAAGTTGTCCTCTATGGGAAATATAAAATCAAGGCTAATGATAAAAAACCATCATCCAAAGTTTGCATAATAATATCTAACAAACATCTCATATACATGTAACAGGAAAAAACAGAAAAAAATTTACCTGCTGCCCTGTAAAGGATTTTAGGTTCAAAAAATATACAAGGATTTTTATCTTCTATGCATGACAAAAGCAGTCCTTTGGCCTGGAAAGGGCTTCTGGGTACAACTATCTGCCAATTTAAAAAAAAAAAAGAGGCTTTTAAAACAATTTAGGAGTTGTCATATACTGGTCAAATCAAATTTACAAAAAAGAATGTTCTTTTAAAAGAATCAATACCTGCTGGTTAAAAAGAACATGAAATTCAGCTTAAGTTAACCAGCACTTATTTTAAATTCTACTCAGATTTATAAGCCAAAAAATGCATTTTTTAAAAAGCAGGGATGGAAGTTGCATTCTTCTCCTAATCAAGTTCATCTGTGATACTTGGAATCATGAGATATAGAAAGGTTTAAGACATATAACCAACAATACTCAATTAAGAGCAGAACCAGGATAAGACTTCAAGTTTCCCTGTCCACAATGTGCTCAGTTCTATAAGGCATGTTACGCTTACCTGATGACATGTGATATTTTTGCAACTCGAACTTAATTTTTGAAATAATTAAGTAAAGCAGGCTTACATCACGATACATTGTAATAAACTCAGATTTATAAAGCATAGCTCAAATAGGGCCAGTTCATATTTGTGTTTCAAGAGAAAATGGTTGATGGATAATTAATTCAAGTTAAGTTACAAATGCTTATGCGATAATATTTTGCTGAGTTACAAAAAGCCACTATCACCTAGCATCTGACTACTCTCACAAGGTATTGTTTCCAAATTACATTAATAATACATCTATAGTCAGCTATGAACAACAACTTTGATATACCACAAAATCCACAGAAGAGAATAAGACATTAATATGATGGGAAGAAAACAATACACAGAGGTGCTTCAAAACTAACTCTCCAGGAATGTAATTCCTGACCTTAACTGAAAATCTCATTTAGGAAACTGAGCACTCCCTTCTTTCCTTCTAAAGGAAAAATAAGCAAAAGTTCTGCCTAACCAAATTTAGGTCTTATGGGTTTTATCAGTACAAGGGAAGGGGGGAAGGAATCAATCTAGGATCATGTGAGTAAGAAATTATAGCTGAAAAGAAATAATAAGGTTTCTGCCTCAAGATGCCTTATAGCACTCGGTCTGGATGCTTTCTTTTGACATTATCACCTTATACCTTATATCATTATCCACTTAAGTTCCTTGTGTCATTTCTACTTTTCTATTTCCAAAGTCTAGCCTTGAACCTGGTAGGCACCTAACAAAAATCTGTGGAATTGTACTAGGGAGGAAAGAAAATTTTTTAGCTTATTCTTTCAGCACTATGAGAATTATGACATCTTCAAGCTAATGCTGTTTCAGATGGTATTTCCTTAACAAAACTGAGGTCTCAGTCTCATAAAGGCAACTAAATTAAGATCAAGTCCAAGACCTCCTGTTCTATTCTCCTGTCAATGAGCATAATACCACTTCCAACAACAGAAATTATAGTGAGAAAAATTACACGACAATCAAACACAATCAGTGTGGTGACTTTACCTTTATTCCTGGACAGTGAGCAAAAAAGGCCTCAGGACACTGAGAATGATAAAGTGCCCCATGGCCTACACAACCCCAAGGGGCTCTTATTGTAAGGCCTCCACAATTAAAGAGATCTCCAGATCGATAACGATATTTTGCTGCTTCATTAACAATCTGAAAAAGAAAACATGCTAAAATAAGTCATTAATGCCCCACTGTTACATATGTTTTGCTCAAATAAACTTGTCAGAGCCTTAAATGTCACATTCATCATTTGGGTCTAGGAGGACAGAAAACACTGGGCTCATCACTGAGTACATAAATCAAAGCCTTTCTAGGATGATTAGAACTACCATAATCTAGCCTTCAATAATCCTGGGTCATTTCTATACCACAAAGAAAGATTGGAGTTGCACCTTAATGGAGAACAATAAATATCAAAAAGCTGTGCATGTCACCAATGCACACTTTATGTGTAAAAGGTACACTCAGAGACATCACCTAGGATATGTAGGATTGAGCAAAGAGGTAGGTCAATCACATAGCAAGAATGAAAAAATTCATGGCCTACCCAAGTGGTACACTGAAAACAGAACATCACAGCTCAAAATTCAAAGGAACCTCAGAAGGCACCTAGTCTAACCTATACCTGAAGAGGAATCTATTCTTTGATATCCCTTATGTGTGATTACCCAGACTCTGTTCAAAAACATCTAGTGATATGACATCATTACTCCTTGTGCAGTTTATTCTACTTTTAAGCAGCTCTAATTGTTAGGAAGTTGTTCTTAATCCAGCCAAAATCTGTTTCTTTGCAACTCCCACCCATTACTCTTAGTACTGACCTCTGGAGGCAAGCAAGCATAACAAGTCAGTAAAAAAAAAGAGAGAGAGAGAAGGCCTCTAACAGACTATATAGTTTCTCTAGTGAGGATTTATGATAAAACATGAGCAAGAGTCCATGAGAAGGATGAGATATATTGGGGTTTTTAATATGTGTCTGTAGAAGTACCTCAGGGCAATTAGATCTGAGTTCAAATCAGGCCTCACATACATAACACTTACTAGCTGTGTGACCCTGGGGGGGGGGGAAGAAGAAGAAGAAGAAGAAGAAGAAGAAGAAGAAGAAGAAGAAGAAGAAGAAGAAGAAGAAGAAGAAGAAGAAGAAGAAGAAGAAGAAGAAGAAGAAGAAGAAGAAGAAGAAGAAGAAGAAGAAGAAGAAGAAGAAGAAGAAAGAAGAAGAAGAAGAAGAAGAAGAAGAAGAAGAAGAAGGTGGACCTTCAAAACCACAGACCATCCCAAGGAACTGTTATACTAAGTTTTCTAGGTATTCTAAGAAATGTTTAAACTGCCCCTAACTGAACAAAGCATTATAATTATTTCCTTCTCTAATTTGAAGGCTACCACTGTATAAATCTTATTAACAAAATAATAAATTGTACTTACCTGATCAAAAGCAGGGAAGATATAATCTGCAAACTGAATTTCTGCAATGGCAGTAGCTCCATTAACTGCAACTCCAATACCAAATCCAACAATTCCTTGTTCACACAATGGAGTATTAAAAACTCTGTCTTTACCTTTTAAAAAATAAGTTACTTTCAATATACCAAAGCCGAGGTATCTGTGCAATTCAAGATACAATACGTCTGAAATTCAGTAAAATTTACAAAAGCTCAATTGTACAGACCTTCATTCATCCAGAGCCCTTAAAAAAGTTATAACTTCTTTGAGCTTCAATCTCTTCATACAAAAAGAGATGATCTTACACATGCTATATTACTTCACAGGATGATTTTGAAGAAAGTATTTCGTAAATCAATTGAGCAAAAGCATTAGTAAGCACCTAATACATATATGTGTGTACCTATATATACACATATGTGTGTTAAAAGATACCTGTTAACTCTCTACCACTGGCTGTCCTTGACCAAGTAGAGGAAATCTGTTATCTATATATCGATAGTTATTCTTGCAGGTGGGCAATCAAAATTTCCTAGTGACAAGATGGAAAGAGGGGTCGATAGCACTGTATTTCCATTTCTATCCAATCATTTGTCCCCCAGCCTATCACGTTTCAAGCTTTGTAACCATATTGTTTTCCCCATCTATAATGCTAACTTCTAATTTTTTTTGGATACTCCTATTATCTATAAAAATGACCCATCAGTCTTCATTCGAGGTCTTTTGGTTTGCTGAGTAGCTAAAGACTCCTTTTATTGCTAACTGCTAACCTTACCAATAAATTGAATGTCCTCAGAATTTTGTTGTCTCAGTTTACCCTAATTTCAATCAGGAAAGGGATTTCTAAAAAAGAAGCAAAAAGACAGTCCCTGTCCTTAAAGAGCTCTTAGCCTAACAGACAACATGAAAAGAAGCTATATTCAAGATAAATTAGAAATAATCAAGAGACGGAAGGCACTAGATAGGGGTGGAGAACCTGCGGCTTTGAAGCCACATGTGGCCCTCTAGGTCCTCCAGCATGGCCCTTTGACTGAATCCAAACTTCACAGAACAAATCCCCTTAAGAAAAGTATTTGTTTATACAATGGACCTAGAAGGCCACATGTGGCCTCAAAGCCACAGGTTCCCCATCCCTGCACTAGAATTAAAAGGGATTAGAAAAGGCTTTCTATAAAATGTGGGATTTTAGCGGGGACCTGAAAGAAGCCAGGGACATCAAGAGGCAAAGATAAAGAAGGAGAGTATTCCAGACATAGGGTAAAGCCAGTGAAAATGCCCAAAGCCAAGAGATGAATTGTCTTGTTCAAGAAACGACAAGGAGAACAGTGTTACTTACGAGTATAATAAGGTGTAAGACTGGAAAGGTCAGAGGGACTGGGTTATAAAGGGATTTGAAACCTAAGGAGAGGATTTAGTTTTTTATTCTGGAGGTTACAGGAAATTTACTAGGGGAAGGGGGTAGAAGGGCAGCAGTAGGGTGGAGTATAATGTGATCGACCTGAGCTTTTGGTCATTTTGGTGGCTGAATGGAGAAAGAATTAGACCAGGGAGAGACTTTAGGCAGGGAGACCCACCAACAGGTTATTTCAGTAGTCCAGGCATGAAGTGGCTACACCAGAGCGATGGCAATATCAAGCACTAAAGCAAAGTAGAATATAAACTGCTGGAGAAATTTGATTTCAGTGTAATTGCCCCCTCCCTACAGGAATAAAATAAATCCAAATGTAAGTCACACATATAAAACGAGATCACTTTGACTTCATTATTTTGAGCATAATTACTTTTTCTATCCTTTCCTCCTGATACTTGTCATTAATAAACACAAACATTAATGATTTTTTATGTATGTTATATCCTGCTGCTTTAATGAAACTCTTAGTCATCTAAATTTTTTTAGCTAATTCTCTTGGATTTTCTAAGTAAATCTACACACACACACACACACACACACACACACACACACACACACGTACACTAAAAATAATATGGATACATTATCACTTGGGTTTTATCCCAGCCAAATTCGCAGGAGATGTGACTAATATTGAGAAAAATGTGGTATTCTCACTTTTAATCACGAACTATCTAGATACTGTGATTTTACATTTTAAAGTTCACCAACATAGCATCTAAAATGAAAAATATCTTTTAAAAATACTGAATTTCAAGTTACAAAGCAATACAGTCAAACCACTACTACTCCTTGAAATAAATACAAAAGTATGTGCTATCTTTTCAACACCCAAACATCAATAGTTATGAGAGTTATAATGAAAAATAAATATCTAAAATCAAGGTCTAGCTTCTATGCAATAGAGAAACACAAAAGGTTTTCCCAAATAGTATACAGGTAAAATAAAAATAACTATTCTCTATTACTGACATAATACTAGAAATGCTAGCTATGGCAATAAAACAAATAACAGAAAAGCAAACCCAAAAGAATTAGCTAAAAAATTTAGATGACTAAGAGTTTCCTTAAAACAACAGTATATAAAACACATCAAAAGAAATCATCAACATTTATGCTTATTAATGACAAGGATCAGGAATGAAGGATAGGAAAGGTGATTATGCTCAAAATAACCACCATAAAATATCTAGAAATCAATTTGCTAAAACAGTCAGGTTTTACATACATACAACTACAAAATATTCTTGGGAGGGGGAGGAGAAAGACTGTAGAGATATTCATTGTGTATGACTGGCTTGTGTTAATAACAAAAAAAATTATTTTAAATTAATTTTTAGATTTTGTGCTATACCAATCAAATCACAAAGGACTTATTTTATAGAACTAGATCCATGTTCAAAGAGATTTTTTATCTCATCAGTTTGGATGTTCCCACTAACAACGAAAATCACAACCTATCCAAGCCCATCCAGCTGTTAGTGCTATCACATAAATTCACAAGAGGTCCACCTACCATCCTAGGGGGTGTTTGGGTTTTTTTCCTTTTTCCTCACCAGTAATTCCTAACTCTCACCACATGACCAGCATAGTTTCTCTTTCAATCATATATTTCCCTGAAGACATCTTTTATTCCAGTTACTTATTATATGTTACAGTTTGATATCCATCATGTGTTTCCCCACTGTCCTCTGCATGGTACTAATTTCCAATTTTTCCGAGTTTGGGGGTTCCATGTCTCAGTCACAAAACACTCATAGAATGTTGGTATTCTTTAAAAAGTCTAAACTATTTGTGGCAAATGAATGTAATATAATGTTGCTACACTATAAGAAAAAACAAATATAAGGAATACAGAAAGACTTATATACAGTATTTGACAGTTGACCACTCTTTCCTCCTGCATACTCTTCTCTCTGTGTGTTTTTGTCTCTCTCGGTTCTCTTTCTACCTATCTGACTACTCCTCAGTTTCATCACTATCTCACTTGGTGACTTTATTAAATCCCATGGGTTCAATAATCAAAATAATCAAAATTGCATGTCACATAAAGACTAATGGAGAGATGAGATGCATACTAAAAGTAATGAGGACTGCAGAATATTACCAATGAAGAATTGAATACAACAGTGTAAAAGATACCATCAAAAAAAAAACTATAACCAGAAAAGAAAAAAAAAAGGTAGGCTATTCATATAGCAACAGTGAATGAAAATCTATGATTCCATGACTGTCACATGAAAGGAGGGTTAAACGTGTTTAATCTCAAAGGGAAGGACCAGGAACTAGCAGGTAGAAGTTATAAAGAGGCTTGATCAAAGTAAAAACTTTCTAATGATGACAGACATCACCACAAAATATGAATAATAAGAAAAATGAAAATAAAGACAACTTTGAAGTTTCACCTCATCTCAAGCAAATTGGCAAAGATGACAGACTATTTCATTTCCCAACTATTTTGGACAACTGAGTTATTGCTGAAGAGCTCACAATGTTCTACATCTAACTGACATTTAAGAATCAATTAGCCACTATTACTATTAGTGATAACTTCCACCAAACATTTCCCCAAAAGTTTATAGCTAATTTTTTCAAAGTTCTAACTTAAATGAATAAAGTGGTATTACCAATAGCCCTTCTGACAGAAAATTGATTATCAGTAAAAAATTTTCTAGGAGACACCTGAAAAACTGCAAACTAGTGAATCATGCTTTCTTGAAGGACAAACTAGTGTTAAGACTCGTTTTTCTGATCAATTGAGGAAACAAGAAAATTGATGGAGAACAAAAGGAAAAATGGAGAAATCATACAGGTTAAAGAAGTATGTGAAAACATTACACTAGCGAACATATCTTAAGACTTTGAAAAAGTTTTAGACATTCTAAAAACTATTAAACAAAAACAGAGGTACTTTGGAATTTGGGCAAATTCAATCCAATCCAATAAGCATGTACTTAGGAAAGATCTCCCATGTTCAAAACACTGTTTTATCGTGGATGATTAACTGAATAAAAGGTATGAAATACTTCTCTGGATAGAGAAATGTTAAGAGTAGAATCTTCAGGAAGATTATTCGGGACCTAGACTTCTTTATTTCAATACCTCAGAGACATAATGTCATCAGAATGCATATTCCCTCCACTGAGGTAGATCAGAGGTGTCAAACATGTCAGTGGCCAGCACCAACTTAAGCCAGCAACAACTTCTTAAGCATAGCCCAAAACAGATTAAAATTTAATTGGGAAATATTTAACAAAATAAATAAAAACATAATAAACATAGATAGCATTACATTTTAAAAACAAATCAATGTGCTGCTGATAAGAATCCTTTTGTACAGATTAGTGGCCCAACCCACTCAATTTCTATTTAAGTTAGTGTAGATCACCACCCCTCCACAAGTCTTCTGGAACTGCAGTGGCTAAAAAAAATACAATAAAATAAAATAATAAAAAAAATAAATTTAAAAAATAATCACCCAATAGCTAATTGCCTCAAGTATACCTCAATTACCTAATGATTACCTCAAGTAATAATACTTCTCATATTTATAAGCAATTTGTAGTCTTACTTTCTAAACAGGAAAATTTCATATTTGCAGAAGTTAACTCTTAAGATTTTCTGAGTAGGGAAACTGTCATTGACAATACCAAGTCTAGGAGTTGAATTTAGATATGTCAATGGGATAAAAAAAGGAGAAGAGCT